TGCCTATTCTCTCTCTGATGACCCCCAAAACCCCAAAACCCCTCGATGAAAAGATAAATAATATTGTGTGGATAATATTATTTTTAATTTAAAATTCATCATGTTGTCTAAATTTTTAACTTCAAAGCTAACTAATTCTTCGGTAACCCACTTGATTTCATTTAATAATGCATATAGTCGAATAGAATAGCATAATCTTTAAAGGGCAGTTTAGTTCGTTCATCTAAGAAACAGTTTAACTCACTTCAAAATAGAAATGTTCAATCACTTTTGAAAATGAGAAGTTCTGGATTTTAACCAAGAATTGTATGTGATAAAATAGATTGTAATTTCATTGATAGAATAGTCTCCTTACTTAATCGCTAAGAGCAAGCAGTTCTTTTTACCAATAAGAAGGACTAACAATTGAGGAAGTGTAAAACCTTCACAAATTGCAAACGTCATTTGAAAGTGAACCTAGAGATTTGCAGTTAGCCTATGATTTATTTAGAGTAAGTCTATTCTTCTCGAATATAAAATGAAATTTATATTGCAGGAACTAAACAAAGTTGGCAAATACAATACAGTTGTTAGATTATATGATAAATATGAGCTTGCCAGTGAGAGTCCAAGATATGAACAAGCTGAGAAAGTCAGACATTAATATGAATTTGCTAGAGATAATTTAGCTCTGTCAGGTATTGCTATGGATGGCCAAGTAGGAGATTAAAAAATGAATTCTCAGACTTTTGCTTAGTTAATTTTGAGTAAGCAGAATGCTTTTAATATTTTTATTATAGCGAGTGGGATCGATCTATTCTTTTAAATGCTGTTCTTGGGAGCAATAGCAATGGGTATGATGATGGTATTTAGAAATTTCGATAGCAAAAGCTTGCTCGATAATTACAAGTTCGATACTAAAAAAGCGAAGGACATTTCTTAGAGATTAGATGATGTAAAAGGAATTGATGAAATTAAGGAAGAAGTTGAAAATTTAATTAAAATGATCAGGGAGCCTGAAAAGTATACTTCGAAAGGTGCTAAACTCCATAAGGGTGTTTTGTTATATGGTAGACCGGGAACTGGTAAAACTCTGCTTGCTAGAGCTATAGCAGGTGAGGCTGGCACGAGTTTTATCTACTGTACAGGTTCACATTTTGACGAAATGTTTGTTGGAGTTGGAGCCAAGCGTGTTAGAGAACTTTTCTAAGAAGCAAAGAGCAATAAACCTTGCATTATCTTTATTGATGAGATCGATACATTGTTGAGTAAGAGTAGAAGATTTAATTCTGAGCACAGTAGTAGTAGAGCTACAATCAATTAACTCTTGGCTGAAATGGATGGATTTGAGAAAAATGACTAGATTATGGTTATAGGCGCTACTAATCATGAAGAGATTCTTGATCCAGCAGCAGTCAGACCTGGTAGATTTGACAAGAAAATACATGTGCCTCTTCCAGATATCAATGGAAGAGAAAACATCTTCGATCTGTATCTTAATAGAATTGCCAAGGCAGTTGATGTAGAATCTAGAAAATTAGCTTAAATGACTCCGGGCTTTACAGGTGCTGAGATCGAAAACTTAGTAAATACAGCCATTACAGAAGCACTTCACAAGTATAAGGAAATGGCAGATATGAGTGACTTTGAATACGCAAGGGATAGAATAATGATGGGTATTGAGAGAAAGAAATTATCAATGACAGACAAAGACAGATTAAATACAGCTATCCATGAAGCAGGTCATGCCATTGCTTGCTATTTCACCCCAGGAGCTAAAAAGCTTTATAAAGCAACTATTGTTGCAAGAGGTGGATCACTTGGAGCTGTAAGGATTATTGAAAACTTATTCATATGTTATTTAGACTTTTATGGTTCCAGATGAATCAGATATGCTCTCAACAAATAAAGAGAAGGTATTAGCAAATATAGATGTTGCTATGGGAGGTCACATTGCCGAGAAGCTCTATTTAGGAGGTGAATAAATCACTACAGGTTGCGGATCAGATTTAAAAAATGCTACTGATATTGCTTATGAAGCTGTAAGAAAGTATGGTATGTTTGGAGCTGAGGCAGGACTTATGAGCACCGATTCTAAAGAAGTCAGTCAGGAATAAAATGCTATTATTGATGATAAAGTTAAGAAAATTCTAGATGAGTCTTATGAGAGAGTTACTAAGTTACTATAGAAAAAGGATAAGGAATTAAGAGAATTATCAAAGGGACTTTTCCATTATGACTATCTAGACCATGATGAGATTGAAAAAGTTATTAATGGTAAAAAGATAGAGAAGGAAAAGGTTAGAAGTTGGGACTACAAGACCTATGGAGATTATGCAATTAGATTTTGAACATTACTTTTATTTAACTCTAACTCATATTAAAATTAGTCTCTTTTCTATTCTGGCTTATTATTGTTGGGGTTTTGGGGTTTTGGGGGTTTGGGGGTTTTGGGG